AGTTAGGAGTTTGACGTTGTTGGGTGACACCGAAGCCTGTTGAATTCATCGACGATCTTGAGATGAAGCTGCTTGTTCGTAATGCTTTCAGGCCTGGTCTGGTTTTGAGCTTGTCTCAGGTGGTAGGAGAAACGGCAGTTCAATGTCACAGTTGTGACTCCAATAACTCTAATGTTATCGAAAACATTGGATAACATAACAAACTACTTCCTGAAACATGCGTTTTAATCTACCAACGTCATCTGAAGAATTGTTCGACTCTCTGGAAATTAAACCGACGAATTCTCTGGTTATTAATCGCTAAATATAGTATATATTATAATTACTATATATTATATATATGTATAATATATATAATGAAAGACAGAAGTCTTTCTGTTATGTAAGTTTGATTGAAGACCTGAGCATGTTTTTTGTGAACAATCTTCTTATATGCTTTTTTTCAATGAGTCAAAGAAATTTTCTTACTTACGACGGGAGATCACAAATCAGGTTACCAAATGACATTTTAATGGACTGCGACGTTCCAAATATACAATATTCATTATCAAGCAGGTGAAGGTTTAGCAACACTTGAAATTGAACATTTTTTAAATGACAATAGTACAAATCATCGGTATTTGGGATCCAATTTGAAATCTAAGCTTAAAATAACTCTGAAAATAATTTCAGCGTCCGGACGAATCCTGTAGTTTGGAGGTTGAAAGCTGGAGACTGGCTCTTGATAATGAGGGTCTCAGCTATCGCCAGTCTCGATGGGTCGGGGCACCGCATAACTATGCTGTTGCAGGCCTCCAATGTCGCTCGGGTGATGGTCTCATTGTGAGCTTCCCGCATGTGGTTCTTAGGTCCTCCAGATTGTAGGTGGCATGTGAGTCGGCGGCTTAAGGTCGTGCTAGTAAAACCAATGTAGTTTATATTTTGCAGAAGTCTACAACCTTCTTTATTACATAAGAATTTATAAACAACATTAGTTTCTTGAAGCAATCCGTTTTTTTACAGGGATTATATTATTCATGATAAGGTTTTTTATTTTCTTTTACATGGAACATTATTATTACAATAATTCTCTTTAACTTCACTTCTGTTTTGTTTGTTTGCTATAAATCATATATTATTATTGATAAGTGACACAGTTCTGTCTGTCCAATCGATCTGAAATTTTTTACACTTACGTAAAGTCGGAGACAATGCTTGAATTAATTGAAAAATAAATAATTTTAAAAAGTAACCAAAAGTTGTAATATTAAAGAAAAAATTTTGAACTATTTATTTTAATATTTGAAAATAAAATAATAAATTCATTTTACAAGTGTAACATAGGAGACACCGGCCTCTCTAGAAGTGTTGTCGTTAAAAATTATATTTTAAAGGCATTTTATTTTTAATTTGCACCGGTAAATCAAAAATCAGGGTACCGATTGACATTTTTATTTCGTTAACAATGTTTTTGAATGTATCAATCATTCATTATCAAGTTACAAAGCGCATGGAGTGATGAAATTTGAATCGACATAATCAAGTGCAAAATTATATAAATAGCATACTACTCAAAAATAAATCTGTTTAGGAATAATTGCCAAATCACGAAAGTATGAAGATGACCAAAAATTAAAACACCGAAAATTACTCCGAAAACAGTCTCGATTTTCTGACAAATCCAGCAGTTTGAAGGTTGATGGCTGGAGTTCCATCCTTAATTATTGATGAAGGCCTCAGCTATCGCGAGGCGGTTGGCGTCGGGGCATCGCATGACGAGGCTGTTGCATTCTTCCAGCACCGGTATACATATACCACAGTATATGTAGTTAAATACACAGTAATAGAGTATTTAAAGTTGGATTATAATTTGAAACGTCTGAAGTTTTTGCTGAAATCATTACGGAACACACCGACCTATAAAACGAATGAAAAATGAATAAACTTACTTGCTTAAGATCGCTTAGGGGTCGCTTAGGAATCTATTTATCCATGTCTCAACTTTTCATTAACCCTCAAAAATATTTAAATTAATCACATTGAGAATTGGAATTAGAAACTTATGAACTCTTACAGGATTTTTCCGTTTTATAGTAAGTAATATTCTTTTTCACACTAATGGATAAACGCTCTGGTTCATCACCCCAATTCAAGCCAACTGGAGGGGGGAATACGAAACACAAGCCCCCCAAAAAGGGCTTCGTGATAGCTACATTAATGTGAGTATATTCGAATATAACCGATCATTCATGTGATATTTAACAGGGGAATAATGAAACAATATGAGTCTATGGAAATTTCAGCGCTCATTAGAACTCAAATTAATAGGCTCATAAATAATTTATGTTGGTGTTTGGCACATTGATAGGTGTATGTCCATGCCATTTACTTCATAAGTTAATTAAGTAACGATTACTTCAATTTTGGCCAAAGGTACGTTTTCACTCATACGGTATTATCAAAATTTTGAGAACTTCTGAATATAAAAATTCTTATAGGCTGTGTTGAATTCCTGGTTCTCAAATGCACTTCTCTTGTGTATTTCGTACGCCTGATGCATGCGTATCACTGACATTTTACTTTAGTTCAGTTTTAAAGACATCTAGACTTTCAGTTGCGGTGTTGGCTCTAGACTATAAAGAAGGAAATGTTTGGTACGTGTGTTTTAATTTTGAAGATCCGTGTAACGTGTATATTTGACTTTTATCGTGTTATATGTTCGAAATAAATGATTTTACTTCTCGATTATACCTTTATGTGCAATACTAATTTTATATAACCATTTTTACCTTTGTATATTGTTTGTTTACAGAAACCGATTTATAAAGACAACTGAACGAAAAAAACGTGTATTCAAATCCTTCGCCAAACGAATATACGTAACAGGCTGCGTTAGCTTGGTATAAATTTCTTGGATAGAATAATAATTAGCCTATAACTAAAACAAGAGTAAATAACTGTAAAAACTTTTAAGGAACTTATGAATAACTGCCAAATATTTATTTTTGTCCGAATTCGTACAAACGGTTTTTTTAGAATCCAAGTGTGCAATCGAGCTGAAAACATCAATTAACGATCAAACATAGTATTTAAAATAATAAAAAATTTACCCAGAGCGTCTCAAGAATAAAAATACAACAAAGGTAATTCATTTACTAAAATTGACAAATAATCCCAAATCGAAATTTTCTGTGATAGAAGTGTTGCATAGAATTCTTCTCGACAAGTTACGTGTAACATGTGACTGGATCAGTTCATAGCCCAGTTATACTGTAACTGCACAGGTAAAGATGTCATATTTCAGCTAATTAGTCTCGTAAATTTTGTACTGTAACGATTTTATTATAGCCCAAAAGTTTGTGAATTTTTCTGAAATTTTTTTCGAAACCCTTTTCATCATAAGTTCATAAAAACGAGTTTTAAAAAAATTATACTAAAAAAATTACAAGCATGATTTGAGTCATAAGTGGCCAAGAAGAAAGACAATTATGTTTTGTATATATGTTGCGTAAATTGTTTTTTATAACTTGCAAAATTTGTAGTAATTATGCAATTATTTGTGATTTGCTCATTCAATTATTCGGCAGAAATTAATACGGGTAGATTGATTGTTTTGAGGGATGTCCTACGTTCGGACCTCCAATTAAGGCTTGGACGATCGGCCCAGGTCGTACTGCGGCGAATACTTTGTTGTGATTTCAACAGGTTGCTTGGTTAATTGATTCAAGCCTTTCATTTTTAATAGATACCTACACGAGAGACTATAGACATCCATCTCACGATGGCCGTTCTTTCAATTATACTAACTTGTGTATATATATCCCATTCATAATTGAGTTCGAAGCAATAGTTTCTTGCTAGGTAGCCCCTTATACAGTGACTATCTTGTTACTCAACTGTTATTAATCAATTTCATAACTAGTCTCATAAGCTTCACTTCAATCGACATATTTCAAATTAAAACACAGACAGACAGTTTATTAATCAGCTCTATATCTTTCTTGACGCACATCATTACAATTTTAGAGTAATATTTCCCGCATTAAAGTGCGCGATGTCCGGCGGTAGAGATTATATATAGTTCCATATTTTAACAGCAGGACAAGCGGCTTGAACGTTGTATAATCAGTGAATATTTTTTTACATGAAAATTTATTTAAAATAATGAATTTAGCTCGTGATCGCTTCTAAATGCTAATGAAGAAATGTTTCATTGAATCGACTGAACTTCTATAAATAAATCAATTTTGTTATGTGCTTGTGTCCGCATTGGGTTTTAATCATCCTCGAAACCATTCTTCAAGTTTTCTATCATTCTCTTCACTTATGATGTGAATGGTTTGCGAGTGGTTTTTATCGGTTTGTATTACGCTTTTAGCCGTGTACATTTGAGTTATTTTATTATTCAAGCCATCCTCCGATTCAGATGATAAAGTGAAAAATTTCACACATTGAGACTCAACCCAATGGCACACCTGCCACTGACAGGCCTCCGAGTATTTTTTTACCCTAAGACGTTCAAAAGAGAACGTATAAGAACTTAGATGAAGGCGACGTTGTGAGACAGCTGTCTGGGACATTATATCAGCTCGGGTGAAATCAGCCGTGCCAGATATAAAAATGTCATCTTGTGGGTTGTGCTCAAAATCAGAGGTAGCTAAGTCATGTTCTGCAGATATTTTTTCAATATTAAACAAACTTCAGCAGTAACAGTAGTTATTAGACAAACTTCATTTCCGCCGCACGTGGTTGCTTTAATTTTAGGAGTGGAACTAGGATGACATTTTTGTAGAACATCATGCATGATGCGATTCCTAAGTTTTCTAGTGTTAAATATATTAAAACTAAATATTATTTTATCGCTTACATCTGTCTCCTTGGAATTTTCGGTTATTTTCAAACTTAATAAAGCTATTCGTGCTTGTCAAAAAAATTTCCATGCAGCCTATTTCCTCTACAAATCTGTGGAACTCGGCTCTACACATTTAATATAAGACTTAAGTTATTGATGAGGTAATAAAATGACATCTTTTACTTCCTTTGCAAGGTGGCTCATACCGCTGCTGCGGAAAGGTCTCTATAATGACCTCAGCACGGAGGACTTGCATGCGATCGATGATTCAGAGACCTCGAAATTTCTCACCGACAACATGGAGAAGTGAGTTTAGTCTTCATTTTCATATAAAACTTGAATTGAAGGTTTTTTCGATCTAAATCCATTACACAGTCAAAAAATTTAAGTTACATAACAGTGCAGAACATTCAGATGAGTAAGGCTGTTGAAGCCCAAAATTTAAAAGCCCAATTCCTTTATTTCATCATAACTCTTCATTGTCTGTAACTAAGTGCAAATTTTAATACTGTACCGTTGCACTAATATAAAATTAAATGTATACAATGTACGCAATGTACACAATACACAAATTTGCATAGTGGCTGTACATTAAATACAGTACAGCCATTGCACCGTAGAAAGCTCAATTTTCCAGGAATGATGGATGAAACAGAGTATGCCTGCACAAATAAATTTCTCTTCAAGTATATTTAATTTCAAAAGTGCTAACTAATGTTGAAACAAATAATTTATTGTCCCACTTCATCACAGACTTTGGCAAGAAGAAGCATTGAGACCTGAACCCCGGTATGCGCGAGCCCTCATGCGATATTTTGGCGGCAGCTGTTTCAAAGCCGGTCTTTCTGCAGCGATTGCTGAGTGCATCCTAAGGTAAGGTTTTAATTTCTTAAGGTGGATGTTCCATTAGAATTTACTTGGGCGTTGATAAAATACAAAATTTATTCTTAAATAACCCGAAATGTGATTTTTCTAATTGAAAAGCTAGTTATACATTATTGCTTTGATCTGATAAAAATAGCATGCGTAACTAATCTGTCTTCGAAAAAACTCGCAGAATCGCGCAGCCGGTGTTACTTGGTCAGCTGCTGCGCCACCTGGGCGGCGTGCAGGGGTACGAGGAAGTATGGAAGGGCTGGGCGTTCGGAACAGGCATCATCCTCTGCTCGCTCCTCTACCTCTTCACTTTTTACTACCACAGTTTTAGCGTCCGGAATATTGGCATGAAGATGAGGATTGCCAGCTGTGGTCTCATCTACAGAAAAGTTTGTAATTTTTTGGTTTTATTTCTAAACAGGACAGGAAATGTTTAAGAAATTTCCTTTTCTTATGCATACGTTTTTTTCCATTTTATATAGGCTATTTAATTAAAATACAAACTTCAACTAAATTAGAACTCAATCAATTATTGCAACGATTAATTTTCCAACTGCAAAGGCTATTCATGTTCATCGATCGTCAATATTAAAATTCAACATTTTTAAAGAATTTTGAATTAAAGGCACGGACATTCATAATTACTTATATTCATTACCATCGTAAGATTTCCTCGCTAAACCACCAGAATTTAATTAATTAGTCTTTGGGAAAAAGAAAAACTGTAAAACCATTGTATTTGTTCAAAATTTTACCATCTCTATGTGTGGATAATTTGCATTTTAATTCCAAGAATCAGGCAATTCGTACATGAGAGGTGAAAACACGTGCTTAATACTCGTGCTAACGTTGAATTTGCCTTGTAATGCTTGGAAATAAACTATAGATTTCGATAACAAATTTCCATCGATGCCACTCATCCCTTTTTATTATTACACTCGATATACTTTTATACTATACTTTTTTCTCAAATAGATTGCACCTCAAGTGAGTTGCATCAAATATTTTCAGTAAAATTGATTTCTATTTGAAGTCATTGCGACTGAGTAAATCTGCTCTCGCCAACACAACTGTGGGGGAGATGGTGAATCTTCTCTCCAACGACGTCAACAGATTCGACACTTCTCTCGTCTTCTGTAACTTTCTATGGATTGCTCCACTGCAGGTTGGCATTTAACGAGCATCGCCTGAGATCCATTACAACATAGTTGTGCATAACGTAGTTTAAATAATCATCATGCAGAGTTGCAATTTTTCTTCATTCACACATTGTGTTGACATACAAAAACTATCCACAAAACTTGGTTTTTGTTTGCGTGCAGTTATCTTTGGTTCTTGGTCTGCTCTATCACATGTTTGGACTGTCAGGAATGACAGGAGTAGCTTTCCTCATCATCCTCATCCCACTTCAGTGTGAGTATCTGAAGCCATTAGCATAAGCAGAAGTAGGTCTACACAGTTTTTTGAATTTAAAATTGTAGAAATCCTGAAATTATTCAACGTCGGCACTCCTATTAAATGTACAACTTGGAATAATATACGGGAAATATATATCGCCGAATTAAGGAACAAGTAGCCAAGGTGAGAGCTGCCAATTGGCCGGTTTGGCAGCTCCCCGGAAGAAACGCAGTGTCACTCTACCATAACTGTTCTCGCGAGGGAGAATAAACTCTCTGGTCACGATAATATCACGGTGCAAAAAGTATTGTGTATACGATCTGGAGTGACGATGAGAAACTTCAGGTTACGTTCTCTTACATCACCAGGCTACATGGGGAACGTATTCTCTCGACTGCGCCAAAGGACTGCACAACACACAGACGAGCGAGTGCGCATAATGAACGAGATCGTCAACGCCATTAAGGTCGTCAAAATGTTTGCTTGGGAGCCTCCCTTCATGACACTCGTGTCTGACGCAAGGAAGTGAGAAATCGGCCTTAACTGTGTATATGGTCTAATTCAACATCATACTCTGGATAGTCAGTTTTGCGGTAAACTTTCTCAAAGTTAAATCAATACATTAAAAAGCGTAGGATAAACCTTTAACATCTGTAAGCTCCTTAGTCCTTACTGAGTGAGGTGAGTAGTATAGACTTTGAATGCATCAGCACAGTTGAGTAATAATAACTTGAGGTCAACGGATTGATCTGAACTGATCTTGACTTACTAAATTTTTCTCCAGGGTTCGAAAAAAATATCAGAAACGTTTTCTGTTATAAGAATTGGCTCATGCTTGACTTCTTGAACCAATTTATTATTATTTTCAATAATCCCACAATTAGGAAAAATAATAGAAGCATTTCCGTAGAAATTTCTCGCATCCATAGAGCTAACGTGGAAAGAAATAGTTAAATATGAGTACAATCAAATTTACAATTTACAAAAAGACATTGTGAGCATCGATAATACCGACAAACGTTCAAGTAAACCGAAGCACACGACGATATACTTATAAGATGCATAATCTATCTAAAGTAAATATAACTGAACAAACAACGTAAATACCCGCAATTTTATTCAGGATGATGAACACACTGACACCAAACTCTTTCCATTGTCATTCCTATACGTAAAATACATCATTCACAAAAACATAAGAGATTACTGTAGCCAATGTGCGTAATTGTGACTCGTACATCGTTCACAGTAGTAGGAGTGATGACTTTAGGCGTTATGCGCCAATATGAGCCATAGGATGCATGGCTTTGCTTGGTACACATCGCTCACAGTATTGGAAGTGATAACGCTAGGCGATGTGAGCCAATATGAGCCACAACAGGCATGGCTTCACTTGGTACACATCGCCAGGAACAATGCATAATTTCAACCATGAGCGATGTGCACCAAATATGGCCACCCTTTTTATGTGACACAATGAAAGAACTTACCTCTGCGGAGCTGCACACAACTTTTCTCCTCGCTATCTGCCGGGTATTCGCATCAATTACGAGAAAACTGATCCCTTATTACATTATTATATTATGTCCCCTCAATACATTATTAATTTTTATTTTATTATTTTTAAAAATTAGATAACCAACTTAAAATAATCATCTTTAATCCATGTTTCTTATATGCAAAAAAAAAATAGATTTAGTAGGTAAAAGAAATTGATCTTGATCTTATTCAAATCATTTCAATATGAATCTTTTGGTCGTGAGTTTCAAATATTATTTATTGAATGCTTGAATTATTTCAATAGTTTGAATCGTTTTTGAATAGTTTTTTTACGGAAGCTCTGCTGTTTTATAAATAATAATTTACCAACATCGTTATCATTTATTTATGAGTTCGTGCTCCGTCCTTTCTTCAGCTGCGTTAGGCGAAATAATTTACATGATCTTTTGAACAGACGCTAGGGTAAAACCCGGATTCTTTTAAAAAAAATTTATCCTGGTTGACGCTAATGGAAAATGTGTTCAATAAATTGTGCTAACTTCCATTAAGGTTCGATTCATTCATGACAATTTAGTGAACGAATATGCTTATTTACGGAAATTATTTTCTCCACATTCGTGCTCACATGATCCCAAAACCTGAAATATCATCTTCAAATTACAATAGACAACCTAAATTGTTGTTTTTATTAAGTAAACCTAAAATTTCATAATAGTGGAAACCTTTAACACTTTTCAGAGTAGTTGCATTTGTTCTTATTTCAATTAAGATCACCGGCCCTAATTACTATTATGTTTTTAACACCATTCGAATTATAATGGAAATTATTATTTGATTTACCGACATTTGGAACTAGGAATACATATACAGTCCCACAAATGCCAGTTAATGAAATTTCTTCGCATATAATATGCTTTCATTTTTAAAATTTTTATCGACATAATTTTTGTGCTGGCAATGACTTTACTTAGGTACTGCATTTTCCAGCATTAGATATTAAGGTTTTTCACAATCTTGATCATTTTTGGATTATCGTTTCCTACTAATTACAGCCTAGGAGATAAAGAATTGCAGCTCTGGTTCTGCCAACTTTATGAAGAACCTTTTAATTTTTCCTGCATTTTAAACAATGATTTTATAAATTCAAAAATATTATTGTCTGTGTTTGCATAAATTATTTCACTCGGCTTCGGATGAAGTTAATCTGCTCTGATGCTTTTAAACGTCTATTCTATCATAATTTTCTTGGTATTGGTGCGTCAGTAACTCCCGTGGCCCAAAAGGTTCCTTCTTGAACTTCATCGCCAACTCTGAGATCATTACCATGGATGTTGGGATTTTGGGGACTTTTTCTCCTTTCCATGAATTACTTTTTTTCTTTCCTACAGCTATGGCATCTTCAGTTCTAGGTTAATATGTGGTTGAAAAATGTCATTGCTATCACTCTACCTTTCAGCCAGGTTAATTGTTTTAATTCCGTTAGGACAATCTTTGGAGCAAGTTAATTTCAATCATTCTCTAACAATTTTTATTTCAAATTTATCTATTCATGATTTTATAAATAAAACGTAATTCATATTAGAACATTTGCTGATTAGAACATTCTTCCAACATTTACAAATCTGGTGAACAATAAAAACTTAAAAGCAAAGAAAACTCCACAAAACTTCATACTAGTATCTTTAAAGAAAACCTATCGGAGTCCAGCTCCGTCGTCAGTTTGAAAATTCTAGAACACAGATAAATCAGTAATTAGTACAGTCAAGATTAAAAAAACCTAAGCGGCAAAACCTATCTATTTACAATTTTAAGCGGGTAAGAACTAAAAGCTGAATTTAAACTAGGCCTCTACTGTCGTAAAGGAATGCACCAATTTTTGCAGGAAAGAAATCGGAGTTATCCGTAGAAGCAACTTCCTGAAAGCTGTCAACGAGGCCCTGTTCTTCAGCTCTGCTAAGCTGGCGATCTGTTTGACAGTCATAACCTACGTGCTCACAGGAAGCTTAGTCACCGCTGAAAAAGTACGAGTATTGAGCTTGCACTAAGCGTCCATCATTAAATTCAGAGCAGTAATACAATTTGATGGAAAAATTTTTTTCCTAGAAATGCTTCACATGAAGACTTGAAAATTTTGAATATAAACACAATACTGATGCAGATGACGTTCCACTCTATTTGAAAAAAGGTTAAGTGCGAGAAACTCTTGCTTACAGAAATCCGGAAAATATGAAGAAGTATTTCATCTTTGATTACTGTAAAACGTAATAACTTGACAGCAGCAACGTGTAAAGTCTGTAAATGGATGTACATATATCAGTAAATGGCAGTAGTGTTTGAAATCTAAATATCAAACTTAATCTTAATAATACTTGTTTTCTTTTGATTCAGATTTTCGTGACAAGCTCCCTTATAAACGCCATTGGGATTTCAATGACGTTTTACCTTCCATCCGCGATATCCTTCGGGGCTGAAGCGCTCGTGTCGTGCGAAAGACTACAGGTGCTGATGTATAAATCTGGTATAGCAACGTTGCGTTATTCTAAAGATTTAGAAACATTCCAAAGAAACATAAACTATGATGAATTTTTTCTTGTTATATGTCAATGTCTTGATTCTTGTTCTTAAATCTTAGAATCTACTCGTGAAATATTATGTTAACAACATGTTAAATATTGTTAAATATCCGTGTCTGAATTTGAGGATTTTATTTAGAGAGAATCACTGTTGGGAAGGGTCTGACGAGACCTGATTCTGAAATCTGTTTAAAACCAATTCTCAAAAATCAAAAATTGATTGCGAACACTGCTCACAAAAAAGCACTGATTACGGTTGGTTTAAATACTTACTCGTGGCCGGATATGCGATCTCTGTTCTCGCAAGTACCAGGCCGCTTCGCTGCTGATGGATAACTTGTTCATGCTCAAAGCATTCAGGTCACTTCTGCGCCCAGTGCGAACGGCAAATTCATAGTGAAATCGCACGTTCGTTGTTGAGAGATCAATTTTATATAAAGTCAAAATCGGAGAATTTTCCCAATAATTCATGTGGTAAAACTTCACACTTTGCCTACCAAAAATTTCGATTAACGTTCCGGGACATTCAAGTCTCAATTTGAAATATTAGATATCCCTCGTGCTATGCTGAGTTCGGACCGCACTCGTAATTTTTCGATCTAATTTCAAATTTCAAAGTCTAATGATATTTTTTCATTAAAGGAATTCTTCATTCAAGAAGAAATTGCAGTTCACGGAAATCACGTATCGGAAAACGTCCTACTCATCAGTGGAGAGGTTAGTATCTGTGACCGAGACAATTTCAAGCTTCGTTCTTATTGCACGCTTTCGCACAACACAAATACATTTCTTGAAGAAATAAAGAAACCTAGAAGTAAATGTTCTGACCTAATTTTTATGCCTTCTTTTATCATACGAAAAGGCCTCAAACTCAATAAAAATATTCAAAAAACGCTAACTAATTAATATTTTTAGCGGTTTGAGGATGAGCAAAGCGGAGTGGCGATCCGGGAACTGAGAGCTCAGTGGTGTACAGGGACAAGAACAACGCTTGATGACATCACGGCGACGGTGATGGCAGGAGAGTTGCTGGTGGTTGTGGGGCCCGTGGGCGCTGGCAAGGTGACAAGAAGTATAGAGGATAAGCAACAAGTAGTAGTATAAGAATATAAGTATAAGTGGTATGGATATAAGTATTAATACTGTAGTATAAAAGATAGGCTAAGTAATGCTGGGCTATTATAAAGTTGAGTTTGGCGCACTATGGTCGTGTGTAATGAGCTTGAAGATTGCAGTTGAGAATTCCTGTTTATTATTTATTTGAAAGAAAAAGGAACCACACGTGTATATATCAGCGAGAATCTTTTTACCTTCAATTTAAATTAAATAAAACCGTGGATTGTTCTAGGTCTAGGCCATCGAGCAATTCTTTTTAATCACCTGTTGCAATAATAAGCGGTTCATATGATGTATGGAAAGTCTTCTTAATTTCTTGAAATTCCATTATTTATAATAAGATTTCAATACTATCAATACTATCAATCACAATTGATGTGTGCAGAGTTCGCTCCTTCACTGCTTGCTAGGAGAGCTGCCGGCGCTGCATGGCCGCGTTCGCGTCTCTGGCAAGATCGCTTATGCCGCTCAGGAACCTTGGCTTTTCTCTGACTCCATCAGAAAAAATATACTTTTTGGAAAAGAATACGTTCCCGTGAAATACGCAGAAATTATTAAAGGTGCAAAAATTGCGTATATTCTAAAGTCATTCATAATTTATTTAACAGTTTTTTTCGTGGAGCATGTTTAAATTTTTATCGTTTTTTTTTTTTATTAATTCTATTGCCATTAATGGACGAATAACGAACATTTTCATACATTTTTAGCGTCTAAAATGTTTTCTGTCACTTTTTTCTGTAACGTCAGCTTTGGGTTGGAGTTAGTAGATTAAAAAAAAATCTACACAGCTACTACTTTTTTTAGTTTTCCATATATATATAATTACACAATTCTTACAAATTCTATGATGCTTTAGACAAGATCGCGTGAATCGATGTCACGGACATAAGATATTCTAATTGCTAATCTTTGAAGTCGCAATTATTGTTGTGAGCCTGTAAAAATGCCGTCTTTATTTAATAGTCTGTTTATATCAAGCAGAAACTAATGTATGCAGGTTAAAGGTGGTAGCATCTGATCGGTAATTAGTGTAAGTGGATTTGTATTACCCAGCGTAATAGTAGAATTTTCGAAAAAACATAAAATAGAATGCATTCGATTCAGCCCTTATGTTGCAGTTTGCGGCCTGGATGCGGACCTCAAGCAGCTGGCTGATGGAGACCTAACATTCGTTGGAGAGCGCGGCACAACACTCAGCGGTGGTCAGAAAGCGCGCATCAGCTTAGCGCGGTATGTGGCTTTTTTAGTCGAGCAGGAATTAGAGGGTGATATTTAGGTTGTAAACCTTAAATTGTCGACTTTATCTGTTAGGGCTTTTCTAATTTCCATAAGAAGTACATGATTTTCAAACGATATAAGTAAATATTTGAAATATTTCGCTCCCATGGTCACATTACGATCATTGCGAAAAGTCCTGCATTTCAAGGCGAAACGTTGGTAAAAGATTCACCGCAAGAAGGAAATAAATGTTGAAATCGACAATAAACTTTCCTTCAATGTTTGGTGCATCTCATTGCATCTTACATGGTCCTTGTAACCATAGTAAAAAAAACATGGTTTAACTTATGTTTTATGCCAGACGTATACTGTAAGACGTGTAATGAAGTGTTGCTGCAAATTTCCCACTACTGTATGCCAGACTATGAAATTTAAGTAGGACCGACTCTGACGTCGGTGCTAAATTGATTATAGCCGTCAGATACTATGCCGATCCCGACTTGCGTCCTGGTTCCTCTCTTATAGGATTTTGACACAGACGCCAGGGTAAGTTGCAGCTTTGGTGGTGAAATTTAGCTTGGAATTCTTGATGGAATATCGTGATTTTCATGTATATAACGACTTGTCATGCGTAGATATTTACTTTGTTTTCTGTTGTAGGATCGTGCGTTTTCTCAGATATCAATGCTCTAGCGCTCTCCTCGCATTTTGCTCTCCTCGCACTTTAGCTTCCCCCGCATTTAACTTGTTAGTGCGTTTCATATGCCGCACCTCTGTAAGATCAATAGTGTTATTTGTTCATATTTATTTGCCGTTTATCCTTAATAAATAAATTTAAGAACATTCGTTCGAGTAACTATCCGCTCAGTCCAAGCTCTAGCTGATAAAACCAATAAGGAAGTTGTATTTAATTTCCGGTCATTGGTGGACGTGACAATTAGACCATCCGAACTTTTGAGGTGACGCGATTAATTAGCTATTATTCAAGATTAATTCGTCACAGCAATTATATACTTAAACAAAGTCTATTAAGTGAATTAATGCAGAAACATGGAGAATCGAGTACATGCGCCCCGAATGGTTTGGAGTAGGATTAATACTCATGCAATCGGACCCGATCCTATCATATTTGCGTCAAACTGAGAATAAAAGCCAACTAAATTGGTGGGCCTCCTTGTGGATTATATGTGGGTAATGAAGATTTAGATTTGGGTCAAACCATGGAATTTACAATGATCATGTTTGGGTTATTCAATCCTTCGAGCGCCTTAGAAAAAATTAATTTGTTGTATTTCAATTTTAAACCATCCTGTTAACTTTAGTTGTATGGCAATCGGTAAAATAATCAAAATTATCGATCGAAATAATTTATTTGTGAAGTTTCTAACATTCGAAAACTGTGAATAATTGGCATATTTAAAATAGGAGAAGTACTTTAGATGGACGGGGGTTTTCAATGCCAAAAATTAATTTGATAGCATTATGCATTTGTGGACAATTTTATGCAATTTCATCCCCTATTAAACCCGAGAACGTCCTTTTAAGAATCCATGAAGCCTCATTATTATACGCAGTAATGTTGCACTATATAACTAATCTAAAATTAACGAATTACTTAGCAACCGATTTCGCTCATTGTTGAAAACTCATCTTTAACAGGTAATCACAATATTCATCCTATAATTAAAAATTATTTTTAAATAATTCAACTTATTGTCAGTGCACGCAGTAATTACTCAAGATAAAAGCGGCAGTGTTCCAAAATCCGAACAACATATAGCAGGTCGGCTCTAATTAATGTTTTTCCGATATGTGAGTACGCATCCAGCATCTCCAATTTGATCACTATACGCTGGATTCATCAATTAAGTTAATTAGTGATATCATATGACATATATTTGGAAATAAATCGAATGGTCTGGTAGCTGAAGAGGTAACGAGAAATATCCTTACTTTTAAGTCCTTAATACATATCTAATCACGCGTACAGATTTTATTTGCACTGAATTATTCAGAGATCTTTCGTTCGAGACTTAACGCTGATCAACTCTCTTTTACAGTCAGTCAATATAAATTGCAGATTTCCTTATCATTTTTCGATATGTAACTGAAATGCCGGTCAGACCATTTTTTCGACGATTTTTCGGAACATGAAATATTGACAGCTATTTGTGCACTATAGCTAGTAATTCAGCGAAGAAATTAAATTTGCAACAATTGAAACTGGTGAAATAGGGGATTGGCTTCTTATTGTACATTCAAGATATTATCTCCAGAACATCGTGTACATAACATAATAATTTACTTCAATATACAACGAAGGAATGCAACATAAGAACAGCTGCTTCGGTATGATTGATAATTTTCTCATATCAAAATTGATCTACTATCACGAAATGTTTTGTTTATGATTTAAGTGAATCGATAAAGGTATAACAACCACTAGATGTTCTACCAATTACTGACCTGTGATACAGCCATGATATTTCAGACATTACAAACACAATTAACAGCGAACAGCTGGTTAATTACAATGCTGCAAAGAAAGGCATCAGTACTATGTGCGGAAATTGTTTCACTATTTGAAAAATATGGTCAGAGCGCTGTACCAGGATGGCGATGTTGTGTTGCTGGATGATCCGTTGAGCGCAGTAGACGCGGCTGTGGGCAAGCAGCTGTTCGACCTCTGCATCCGCGGATACCTGCGTCGTAAAGCTGTCATCCTCGTCACCCACCAGCTGCAGTACATCAGCGCCGCCCACAACATCCTCGTGCTGCTCGAGGTGAGACGGAGCCCACCAGCTGCAGTACATCAGCGCCGCCCACAACATCCTCGTGCTGCTCGAGGTGAGACGGAGCCCACCAGCTGCAGTACATCAGCGCCGCCCACAACATCCTCGTGCTGCTCGAGGTGAGACGGAGCCCACCAGCTGCAGTACATCAGCGCGGCCCACAACATCCTCGTGCTGCTCGAGGTGAGACGGAGCCTCTTTAATACATTCCATCAACGAATATATTCGAAACCCTATCATTTTTTCCGACACGAATACTGTTTTCAGGTGAAATAAGTGGTAATCTTGATAATTTTTCACTGCTGAGAACAAATTCTTGATCATTAACTTACCCACTACCGTTCTAGCCTGCCCATGAATTAACAGCAAAGGTTTTAGAGTTAAAATTTTGACTAATCTTTCACTTGTTCTTTCATTTGAAGCTATCCATGATATTATCACTATTAAAACACTAGTTTTCAACGCATGTCTTTCGAATATTAAATGATTCTACCGATCTATCGAAGAGAAAAACCTGCCGTGATCCATCGCTTTTTTTTGTTGACCCTATAATAAAATATGAGGAAATATACGTTTGATCTTAATTGTAAATTGATGAACAATTTAGATCTGAATAAAGTACGAGTTAGCTTCAGGTTAAAGTCATTTTTGATCTGTCAGTTGATGCTAGTTTACTGAAGCTTGATACAATATCTAAACAAAAAGTAGTTCCTTCCGAGCGGGAATTGCCTGATTGATTTTAAATTGAAATGACCTTCGTTTGCTGCGTTAGAATGATGTTGTAAGCTAGTTCAGAAGGCTGGTATCATCATCATGCAATGCTGATATGCTGATAAATGGCCAGAAATCAATATCCGTGAACCATAATGTCTTTCACATTATATGAGCATGGTATTACTGAGAGCGACATTAGATATAGGTATATATAGAGACCCCTCCTATTCATTTACATTTAACTCTCCGCTGGAACAAAGCTGAACCTTGCCCAAGATCGAACCCGGGACCTCTAGCTTGCGCGTTGCCGCCCATAAGACACGATGCCACGTGCAGGACTAGAGTTCTAAGTACGATCGTAAATTTGTATCATGCTTCAATCAAACAATAAAATAGCATGACAAACATAAATTTTCTTAAATTCATTAAATATAAAATAATCATTAATTATGACATACGTCAAATTAAGAGCCGTTTTGACAAATTTTACATTTCCTATTCGTTACTGATGAGATATTTTTATAATATTAATAAAATTGAGACATATTCAACAATCACATATCCAAATTTTTTGGAGTTAACTAATATTTGAAATTTCGAAGTCTTGTCAAAGAAATAGCATTGACTGATTGTGCAATCATTTGAATACTGCTATGAGATGCTGTAGCTTAGAACTGAGTTCTGAGTGGTCTTTCTATGTTAAGTTTGCCGAAAATGAACGGATTTAGAATGATAATTCTCGTATACACTGAGTCTTTTTAAACTTAAATGACTCCATTTTGAAATTGCAACAAAAATATCCCCCGAATAATGAGCCTTGAGAGTTCTGGTACAAGATGCTGAACCATATTATTCTACGGACATCATGGATGCGATGGTATATATGGAAGACAGTGGATACTTGACAATATGAATTGCAAAAATTTGACATGTTTAAATTATGCGATCAAATAATCCCGAGACCGAGCATAATTCTACATAAGCTCTAAGTAACTCGTTTGAAATTAGTTTTTTCACAAGAATTTCATAATCACTCCGACCTGATTTCCACATTTGTGAATGGCATGCAGGAGCAAAGGTGTAAAATTAAGCTTATTTAATAAGCACGAAAAATTTGATTCAGCAACCTGCACAAGGCGTAAAAAACCTAAGGTTGTAAAAAGAAAGACGCAGACGTATTTAGGTGAAAAAACCTAAGGTAGTCAAAAAAAAAGACGTAGCAAAGACAAGGCATAATAAGGAAACATCATAAGAGGAAAACTCATTTCCATCGATAACGTATTTTTCTTTAAAAAGAAACTTCGAGGATATGGAGCGGTTGAAAATGATGTAAAGCAGACATATGAGACCATTACAGCATCATACCCGACCGTCGATCCTCTTGAATTACAAGCAGCGGAATTATATGCATGAACGAACTTGAACGATTTTTCTACCATCATAGAAAAAAATATTATGTGAGCTCAGTTTGTGGATAAATTTTTGTAAGCGAGTGATCCATGCATCCAAGATTTTAAAAATGAAACGGAGCTTCTGTCAGGAGTTAAATACCTATGTAAAATAGAAAACGTGATATCCGCCTTCCACCATCGGCAGTTGGCCACGTCACCATCAGTGACGTCACAACGAAGCCATAAATAAGCCGGGCCGCGGAGCAGTCAGATAGCCTGTGTCAGCCTATAAACATGCACCTGCGGTGCTTGCTGACAGCTCCGGTCAATCCTTTAAACCTCCGCACCATCGAACTGTCAATAGTGAACTATTATGAGTAAAGTGATGTTTCACTCCCTTCCTGCCGTCAGTCTAAGAGTAGGACGATAATCAAGACTATCCAGGACCCTGAGGACTTCTATTAAGTACTCAACGCCATAGGAAGCCTCAGGTCCGGCCACGAAATAGCAAAGGACCTGACACTTCTAATGAGTGTTTCCAAAAATAACTTAATTACAGTGTTATTCCACAAACAATTTCAGATTTCTGTGGTAAATATGGAAGGCGAGAAGATTTTTTGGTATCAATTGCTACACATTATCACTAACACTGTCAAGAACTGACGCAATCATTTGGAATGTTTATTGCTATAAAGTCGTTTTCAGTTTTAATTTATGGATAATCAGGTGACGGAAGGCATGAACTTCACTCCATTTCCATTCCACCTACATGAGAAAACTTCATAGATTCTTTTGATTATTTTGACTCGCTTCAAACTAAATTATGAGAATAAACCAGTGGTATCATATTGTCCTTTGATTGTATTTGTTACCTCTTAAAGATATTATTGGGGATAGCATAAAACATAACTTTTCCGTGCTGGTGTTTTCGTTCACGAGCCTGAACCGTAAATAATAATCAACGAGTAATTACCCTAATAAGAATACGGTAACATGATAGGAAAAAGTGAAACAACATTTTTCCACAGCAAATTATTTGTTTTTCTTCACGCAAATGTGCATAAATTTAGTAAAATAACCAGTCATCCCTCAGATGAGGTATTGACATTTGTAAACTTCTACGAAATTTAGGTTTGAAAACAACATAAATTTATATCGAATATTATTATTGCAGAATCTGTGAAACAAAATCGAAAGACGACATAGCTTTCAAAATTTCCCAATTATAATAAAAAAAAGGTGACAAAAGCTGCCCGGGCAACTATCGCCCTGTCAGTTTGACAAGTGTCGTTTGCAAGGTAATGGAATCTGTTGTGAGGGATCGATCGATAGATCATTTGACTGCTAATAATCTCCTATCAGACTGTCAACACGGCTTTATTGCCGGGAGATCCTGCACCACTAACCTCTTGTCGACTCTGAACGAATGGACCCGCCTGCTGGATGAAAGGGAGCCAGTAGATGCAGTATACCTCGATTTTGCCAAGGCATTTGACAGTGTCCCACATGAGCGGCTGTTGCGTAAATTGAAGTCTTTGGGAATTGAGAGTAATGTACTCAAATGGATCAGAGATTTTCTAGTAGGGAGGCGACAACGTGTCATTATTAATGGGTCCGTATCAGACTGGGCTTCAGTGCGCAGCGGCGTGCGACAAGGAAGCGTTCTCGGGCCTATTCTATTCGTTGCGTTTATAAACGATCTGCCAGAAGCTGTGTCTAGCGTTTGCTCGATGTATGCTGACGACACAAAAATTTATAATACAGAGAAGAATACGTCGCAAAAAGTACAGTTGCAAGGTGATCTTGACAGGCTGGTTGACTGGGCTGATAAGTGGCAGCTGCGTTTTAACGCAGACATATGTAAAGTTATCCACCTTAGCAAGAATAATGAACAGCAAGATTACAGTATGAGAAGACACGGTTGCAACGGCAGAGTGATGATGTCGAAGTCGACAACGGAAAAGGATTTAGGAGTTAATATCTACAATAAGTTGAAATTTTCTAAGCATATTGAAGGTCAAGCGAATAAAGCCAATCAACGACTTGGACTGATCAGACGCTCTTTCAAGTTCCTAGATGCAGAAACGATGAAGCAGTTGTTTGTTGCTGTCGTGCGGCCGAACCTAGAGTTTGGAAACGTCGTGTGGTCACCGAAATTTGAAAAGGACACAAATTTAGTAGAGAGTGTTCAAAGACGCGCAACAAGGATAGTTCCGGGCTTGAAAGACAAGTCTTATGAGGAAAGATTAAAGATTATGAAGCTTCCAAGCCTCCGTTATCGACGTCTGCGTGGGGACCTCATTGAAGTATACAAGTATACTCATGGCTTATACAAGGTCCCAGAAGGATTGCTAGAATTTGAAACAAGAACCAACACCAGGGGCCACGGCTATAAACTAAAAAACAGCGTTGGAACACAGCCATGCGACAACATTTCTTCTCGCTTCGAGTCGCCGACATGTGGAACAGCCTCCCTGATTGCATCGTTGACGCTTCGAGCATGAAAATCTTCAAAAACAGACTAGACGAAGCTATGCAGGAGCAATGTTCAGTCTTAAAATGCCTAGCAAATTACGGACCAGGCAATAAGTCCAGACGAAGCTATGCAGGAGCATATGTTCAGTCTTAAAATGCCTAGCAAATTACGGACCAGGCAATAAGTCCAGTAGCTATTTCAATCAATCGTCAGCTATGGAAAGATCGGGTTCCAAAGGCCGGATCCCTTGTGAATCAAGTCACGAAAAGTTCAAGAATCGGCAACAGGCCATGGGCCTATTTCTTCAACGCCGACACTTCTATTCTATTCCATTCTATTCTATAACTGTGGCAAGAATATTTGTCCTAGTACGAAAATATTAACGAAATGTTGATCGCATTTAATGTGTTGTGATGAATGTGACTATCGAACACAAGTCTTCGTGTGCACATCCTTCCCAAACAATACCTCATTGTATATGGTATCTATGGAATTTCAGTTACTTAATAAAGTGTCAAATGGGTTATGAGCCACCAATGACATCCAAATGCAGTTATGCATGGAAATTTGTGATGAAGTATTTGACAAAATTAATCGAATATTCGATTGACATTGACTGACTGTTCAGTGATTTTTGGTTAAACATCCCTCAGCTCAATCTTTGTGTAATTGCACAGGGAAAATGCGAATTTTTTGGCCCTTTCATCGAACTTCAGAGGAGCAACATCGGGCTAGAGATGATGACGATTGACTCTATGAAGCTGAGTCCCGCCTCATCCACATTTTCATCTCCCCGTTTCACCGTAAATATTCTACAACGAGGTACGACAATTATTACAGTTAATTTTTTTTACCAGCTCATACCAATTTTTCGCTGTTCTTATAATATTGTGAATGTGTGTAAAACATTTGGTTTTATAACAATTTCTATTAATTCTTATTAAGTCCCTCGTGAATTAAAATGTCATATTTCAATATTATTTGCATAACCGAGCTTCAACCAGTTCTATAGTCGTCGGGAAAGAGCATCCCGTTATCCAAGGCATTTGTTTCAGACATAGCATGAGTGATGGAAAACTTGTCTGTAACATGCATTTTTTTCTTATGACCACAGCACACAGTATCCACACAAACCGATCTTATATTAAAGTAATACACACTTAGACAGTTGGACGCAAGCCGCACTGAACGCCACCGAAACATAAAGTCGCACCATAAAACATCACATTACACCCTTGGAACTTGAAGCACAAACATATCAAAATTTTTTTGATGCTCGTGCGAATATTTTAATGTGAAGTTCACATGCACGTCTCATTTGATAAATTGTATAAGTTAATAATATTATATTTTTTCTGAACACGATCGTTCATTTTATTCAAGTTAAAGACTAAAAACATATCTGTATTGCAGGACAATCTAATGCCTCCAAGTATGGGAGCATGGAGACTAACACCAACACTGAGAAAAGAGTTCCGATGGCTTCGGAAGAAGGTTTTGAAACGTTTCATCAGCGTCAAGAAAGAAATCTGGTGATTAAACTTTCGGATTCTTGTTCGAAATCTGAACAAATCCGAATTTCACTGAAAAATCTATTTTTTCCGCTTTTAATTTGTCAGTGCGTCTTAATAATCAAACTGAATAAAACAATGATGGAGTATGTAACGGTTTCGCCGATTTCATCATAAGTGCCGGGCCATCAAGCATGACGAGATTATTTGTGACGTCGAAGGAATGGATTTCTCGTATGTGGGATCAAAGATCAATGCTCTTATCATTTCCCAGTAGAAGTTCTTCATCGCGAAATAGCAGTAAATACTGGCAAATTCTATTTGCATCTATTAAGGGATTATTTTACTGCAGAACCGAGCGTTCTCTTTTAAGAGGAAAAGCCTCTTTGAATGACCAAACTTATTTATTTTAAATTTCTAGAATTTGCGGCTGCGCTTTAAAAGTGGAAAAATTTAGAAAAATACTATGTTTCTACAAAAATCTGCTGCAGTCCAGTTTTCGAACAGTCAAATATTCCAGTTAGGATCTCTCATGCATATTAATTCCAATTTAAATCAGAATTTGAATGATAGAAATCTCCAACTTTGTATTATTATTTCGATTACTAAATTATGTTTTTTTCCATCGGCATTCTGACATTGATTTTCTTTAAATTATCAGCGCTCACTTATTACTCATTTATTAAGCGCCACCTGAGGATCGTGATACGTGATCAAGGTCGTGAAGGACATAGTAAGACACAGCTGTCTAGATAACATACATATCTTGATATACGGGGTGGTTATACATGAGAGTTACGATATAAAGGTATATAAGCTACCGCGTCGACCGTATAAGGTCAGAGAACTCAACCGACGCGTTACATCGCAGAGCGCTTGTCAACTACTGCGGGGTGCATTACTAAATTCCAGACACTGACTCATGTCTAGTACTTTTCCATCAATCTCTATCAGATCAAGTGAATATTACGTCTCAATTACATATGATCTAATCATATAATATAATTATAATTAATGTAATGAGACACCAGATTGACAGCGGACAAAATTTCTTGAAACTGCAAAAGATATGTCATATTCTCTTCCTCCTGTTCTGCAAGCTTTTTGTCTCTTCTTTCCACTAGCATCATGAGTTGCCAGATCACTTCTTTATTGATGCTCGATTAACTGGGTTCATATTGTGCGATGGATACCTCTGCTACCGAGTGTAAAATTGCTTTAATCATTTTTTTCAACTGTAGTAAATTAATGACGTGATTAAATAACTGATAATTTTGTTACTGCTTAACTAAGATCTTGAATACAACTCTTATGTGGCAAAGATATAATTTATCCGCTGCTGACACAGGAGAGACATGGAAGTTCAACAGAAGAGATGCCTATCGTTGCACGAGAGGAACAGCGTTCGGTGGGCTCAGTCTCTTCAGCCGTGTATCTGCAGTACTTCCTCAATGGCGGATCTTGGGCCTGGATCACGCTACTCATTTTCTCAAACCTCATTACTCAAGTTGCTTATACAGGATCAGATTTTTGGCTATCATTATGGTGAGCCATTGATTATTCAAAAAGTTAGACGAGAATATAAATTTCGGCTCGAATTACCTGCTATCGGTAAATGTACTATTTTCGCACAACCGTCCACTTCTTTTAAATAATTTGAAATGATCTTATTTGCATTATCAAATAAACCAATAGCATACGTAGTTTATTGCTTGTCTGGCTGAATGGTAACTTGAAGAAATCTTTTGGAACTTTGCGCCTTAGTACTAAGTGACATCACCCTCTCATTTCGTCTTTCGGTAAATATATCTTATTTGCCAATTCTAAAAAAATATTTCAACCTAGTGGATCATACAGATTTATCCTTTCAAGTTTTTGTTTTGCTCTTTGCAATACTCACTGGAAACGCGTATGGAAAATATGAGCATAGAAGTAATAATACTTTATTACTTCTGTCAAATTTATGAAATTGACACATTAAAATTTTAGTGCGCGCTTTAAATTATAAACCTTTCTTTTTGGTAATGCAATACACATCTAAAAATTGATTCAAGCTCTAGGAGCGTTTACTTTGGGCCAGTACTAACCGCCAATTATAGTTAAGGTGCTTATGGCATCGTGTAGAGCGGTACTGGCTACTTGCTGGGCTAATGGCTAGCGAGACATTATAAAACAAAAATACTCGAATTTTGTGGCAGGCGAGCGACCACGTGAACAATTGGCTGATCACGTGAACAATTGACTTCGTTTTGTGGTATATCACACGGTTAAATTTGAAAATACATTGGTATTAAATAGTACGTGCTCTCCGTAATGGTTAAAAACATGTTAAGTTTTTATACGTCATTCATGCATGTCACTTCACTGACAGTTTTAGTAGTCAGAAAAATAATTTATGCCTATTTCACTTATATTGAAGTTCTATCACGAACATAATTCATTGTCCCAGGCGAAAACTCCAATTACCATACCATGAAAAACATTAGTAATGGTTAATGAATCTGTTATAAAAATGAGTATAACATGTAACATAATATAATACATGCTAACGGGAACCATTTGTTAATCAAGATTTAAATAACACATTGAGGATATTTCACTTGCAGCTAGTCAGTAATAAAATAAAATTTTCAATAGATTTAATGCAGGAGATTGAAGTCTCTAACGTAAGCAAAGCAAGATATGTTGTGCGCGCAAAAAAATGCAAATTGTTCGATGTCGGACACTGCAAACATCGGCAAACGTCGACGTCATTCGCCGAGAACGGATATTTCGTAAATAAAATCCATTGTTTTTTTCTCCATCAATCGAATTTAGGCATAATAAAAATTTATTATAGATTTATAATGATATGATAAAGAATTTTTAACAAACATTTCAAAAAGTGAAGTCAAATAATGACTTAAAACCGATACCGATACTGAAATATTTGTACTATGGACGAGGGTTAAGTACGAACAGTATCGTATAACACATTTGTGGTAACAGAATGGTCAAACGATCTAATACTACTTTTATATGACAATAAATGAGGTGTTTATAACTAATTAATTGTTTTAGGACTAATGAGCTGCATGGGCAAACACACCAAGGCGCAATCAACGGCCACAACATCTTTAACCAGACCACGAAAGGGTTGGAAGTTGACGTGCCATTCACGTCGTTCACTTTTGCGCAAGTCTACGGCGGTGAGTTTACCCTTCATTTATTTTCAAGTTTATCGTTATGAATTACACTTCCTATAATTTAGAAATTTTTCTCACATAAAGTCCTTTGTTTCATTTTTTAAATGCTTCCTTATACGTCTAAGTTGTTTCACTGAGTCGTATGAAATTTTGCGATGATATGGAACTACAGCATTTAATATTAAGGAAAAAAGTTTAGAAGAAGAATTTGGGATGAAACACAGCCTAAATATAGAACTATTGTTGGAAAATAAGTGCATCTATCCGGCAAATATATAGTCTTCATATACATATGTTCTAAATAATATAATGATCTTCAAGCTATCATGATCATCTATATATCAAGAAATTGCTCACAATAACCGGTGCTCTTAATGCAATTAATAGACAATTTATCCTATCACAATAAGATGCATCAAATGACTTTTAAATCTTTCCCACTTTGTCGGGAGACATACATCCTAATAGTGATCACTTGATGTACAATTATTGTCGCACCGCGCTTTTGTTTATCGTCATCTATACCCTGGTATTCTTTACGGCCGTTTTATTTTCCGTAGCAATGACCTTTTATCACACTGCCCGCTGTCGACACTAGCGCAGAGATCACTGAGTCGTCAATTATAGATTGTTTGACAACAGCTGTCATATTTCGGCAACAACTCGTAGATCCTCATGGCCGTCGCTTATCGGAACCTTTAGCGTCCGGCTTTGGCTGTGGCCGCGCATTTAAAGGTTTAGATATTGGCTGATCTTTCAAAACCACCGAGTCCGAAATTTACTTTTGACGAAATTTTACTCTCTTAAGAGTGCTAATGATGTATTTATGACCGTAAAGTGACAAAATCACTGCTCAAATGCGGTATTTCACAAATTCCTGTGATTGAGTCCGTATTTCGCATTCTTATCAATCTCAACTCTGGGTTTGAAATCATCAAATTATACCGTACGAAGCTTCTAAATCCTTTAGCAGTTTTTATATGTTAATTAAGTCATCAATCATATTCTGGAAAGCGAAGTATAATTAAGGCGATGGGAGAAAATTTTGAGATCGTGTAATAGGATTTTCAAGGAAGCATGATGGAGCTTGTTCTTTGTTAGTTCTGTTCTGAAACGTTCAGCAAACCAGTCTAGTCCTAAAAAATTATAGGCGCTGGTCTCATTTATTTCAATAATAAAATATAAAACTTCTCGTGATCTCTGAGCATGTATGTGGCGTGCTCATTCTGTCTCTGGGACGAACATTGTTATTCTTCATGATTATATGCGTTAGTCTCATTTATTTCAATAATAAAATATTGAACTTCTCATGATCTCTGAGCAGCACTGGTATGTATCGTACTCATTCTGTCTCTGGGACGGACTGTGTTATTCTTCATGATGTGCTGTGTGTCGTCACGACGCCTACACGACAACATGTTTCAAGCGGTCATGCGCGCGCCCATGAGATACTTCGATACTCAGCCTATTGGTATCTGTATGCCATATAACTGCATTAGTTCCAGCATAATATTAAAAATGATCAGGGAACATTGACTCATTCTTTCATAAGATCAATCAGAAGTTATTTATTGGAAAATCAATCCAATGATTTTTTCAAATAAAAAATACATTAATTTCATTAGGGTCTGGATATTTTTAAAATATTTTTTTAATTCATTGAAAAATGCAGTGAAAAGCGCAAAAACTGCTTCTTGTATACATAGATGTTTTTACCGTAGTGAAGTAGATTCGTCTAATCAGGAAAGGAGAAGAATATGACGCATTCGTTGTAAATGCTTTTAATCTTAACTATAACGGATTCATTAACTATTCTGAGATTAATAAATTCTAAACGATCAGCATGTATAAGCAGGTACGGGAGAAATTGAAACAAATGGAGAGCAAGTTTCTCAATCATATTTAATGAGACTCAAAATACAGTTTAATTCCTATTATAAAGCTTTAAACAGGTCTTTTATCAAAATTTCAGGTCATGTGCTAAATTGCTTCACCAAAGATATGGGACAAATTGATGATCTTATGCCGATGTGTCTGTGGGACTTTTTGACAGTAAGTCTCTTGTTTCGATATTCCACTTGGGCAGTGAATTAGCTTAAAAAATTGACTTGAATATATCAATGTTTTAATGCCAAATCATACAGCTGAATCTGAAATGTCATATTTTTAGTCTTGTACTATTGAAAATCTTCAAACCATGCAAGACAGCGAAACTTCCCACCCAAACCTTGTTAAGCAAACTTTCAACGAGGTTTTGATGTTTCGCCTTTTCTTGTTTTCTACATTTCTTCTTCCTCTTTCTGGTCACTCTGCATAAACTTTCGTTATTTCCTTATTTTGCTAGTGGTACCGCAACAACAACAACAACAATAATATTGGCATTATTTTTGCATTAATGTCCATAATCATAATTTTTAACTTTTGTCTAATCAGAAACTGGCGCTATACTATTTTGAATCATCCCATCATGCACATTTGTATTTTTCTCGCCAGATATCATTGAACACAGTGGGAATCATTGCAATGATCGGGTTCGTCTTCCCCTACATGTTCATCCCAACCGCCGTGTTCGTCGTCGTGCTTATCTTGCTGCGACGTCTCTACTTGCACACCGCTCGAGACATCAGGAGGCTGGAAGCAATCAGTGAGAGTTGAACATTGCATGACGCACACAACTTTTACTAACAATCTTTTGTGAACAGGGTTTCGAGCTCTTACTTTGAACCTTCTTCGAATAATTTCTCACTATTCCTCGAAAAAAATTGCGGGAATTAAAGTCAACTTAATGAAATTTTAATTTATATATGATAGCTCTGATTCATTTTCTAAGCTCATTTCCCCGCGGATGCGTGATTGAGCGAATTCGTTGCTAATTTGCTGCCAGATACCTCAGGTGTGGTCAAACTCTCGTTCTATTTTATTTTGATTTTTCATTTAATCCACTTATTTAGTACCACAAATTATTGTACTTTCATACTCCGTTTTACGCTGCAATAATTGGGGATTTTAGTTTTTCTCGTTTCTTTTAGAATTAAATGAACGACCAAAAACAGACGACCACAAAAATGTGAGTTGATTAATTCAGGTGATGACATTCGATGTCAAGACCGTGTACTCCATTTTAGCAATTCTAGAAATATTCCAGGATTTTTTAACAACATTTAAATCAAAGATGTTAGTTTTAACGTCAATCAATTGCTCTGAAATAACTATAGGTTGAAAAAATGTGGTGTCAATCATGAGCATGAAGTTAGGTAGCATTTCGTCAATATTTTGCATATCATTGTACGTAAACATGAGCTATTAATGTCTAGAAATATTCAGGCGTTCGATCGACACCTTAATTAACAAGCTTTCATTACAAACTGCAAAGAATAATTTTGCTGCAGCGCGCAGTCCAGTATTCTCCCACCTGAGCACATCTCTGGACGGCCTGACCACCATCAGGGCCTTCCGTACCCAGCGCTCCTTCATCAGAGGCTTCGATCATCTTCAGGTATGACGCTGGCACAAACTTTATTTGGCCTTACCAGCGAAAGGATTAAAAAACGTCCAAATTTTTGGCTTTGATAAATACTCGTGTGAAGTGGATCTGAAAATAACGACGGTATAAATCTAAGATCGAACTAAGTAGTGTGATATGAAATGAACAATGACCCACATAACCACATATCACAATAATAGTGTCGTTATATGAAAGAACTTCATAAATTGATCATTAAAACTATAAATATCTGAATCCTAAGTGAGAAAGTTTGTCACAGATCAATTTCCTTGCAATAAGGCTCTAAGCGCACAACTTTAAGTGATTAATCAATTAATATCTGCGTAAAAACCAAATGACAAAGCAAATGTACATAAATAAGACTATACGTATAACCAGGCCAAGATAACGCTAAATTAATATTTCGAAGTCAACATTGAAAAAGTGAAACTGGGATAGTGCAAATGTAACCTGGTCGTCGTCTGTGTCCGGCCACCGAATAATGTGAGTGTTCTAGATTGTTGCCACTATATAGGTTTATAAAGAAAAATACATAAAAAGAATTTAGTACTAAATAAATAGGAAAACAAATCCTGTTGTAGAGAACAACGACTGTTCGAAATAAAAGTTTTCGAGCCTTTTTTAAACAAAACCTTATTTCAACGCCATAAAATTTGAGTTTCAACCATGATTTAACTAGTCTCAGAACCCCGTAAAAAATTAAATAATAAAACTAATTTTTTCTCTTCATATAAAATGTATCTGTATTTGATAATGAAAACGGTAATAGAATAGCTTCTATGAAAAATAGCTTTCATAGCACCACAAGTTTTTTTTACTTCGGAACGATGCAAATGTAACTGTTTTCATCCAATCGAATTTCAAGTGTGAACAGGAATTAGTTAATTTTGATTGTATTTCGTGTGTATACAATGTAAGCACAAATCCTTATTATTTCTTTCTAAGTTTCCAAGCTCACATTTATTTTGAGAAATACATTATTTTATCAGGCTTTCTAGTCCCAATCGGAACCATTTGCGTTCATTAATCCCGCTTAGCATTACATGTGAATGGTATGGAAGTTTTCTTGCAAACGGCCCGCCCGGTGCGCTTTGAAAAGTGAGAAAATCGTGTTGGTGCATCTTGATTAATTATTCACATTCAGGTTCAATCAGTAACTTTAATTAATTTTATTTATGGACGTTATAATTTCACAATTATTTTTTGAGCATTCAGAGTGTACTACTGGCTATGTTATCATTCAATTCGCCATTTTTTTTTTGTTGCTTCTCCAACGCAGGGCTTAATTACAGCTTGAATGAAATTCCAGCTAAAAAAGCAAAAACGAGCTTTCATTAAACGAACTTTCAAAATAATGAGTAAAGGAAGGTACATCTGATATCTCAACATGTACCTCTCACCTCTGTTATATGTACATTTAAATTGTAACATTTTCAAACCTCGAATTTTTTTCAATGACATTCTGATCTGAAGCCCCAGTATCTATTGACCGGGAACGGAAATTACTGTCACAAGGCACGGGGTTATGAACTCGTCATTGTACGAGAGCCTTTGCTCCAAAGTGGAGAAAAAGTTCTGCGCTATAACGAGTATGTATTTCTCGTAATTGACTATTGAAATTCATAAATTTGCACTAAATAGCAATGAAATCTATCGTTAAATTTTTACTTCAATCGTGATTAACTAATGTCGTTGCAATTTTACATCAAATTAAAGAGTTACACACAGGTTTTTCGATTTGTCTCAAGCAATTCATACATTTTAAACGAATATTGTGCATTGAGCCTTCAATGGACTCAAATACATCGAAAGTCCATTTGTGTTATGGCAGAGTTCTACTATAATAGTATAGAGTGGATATGTTATCTCTGATATCCTGACATTCGCTGAAAAAATAGAGCTTCTGATTGAGGGAAAAATTAAAAATAATATTCATCGATGGAGACAGGACGGTTGGAAATTTTTAACTGCAGATTGCGGATTAAAACAGAGTCGTGTGCCTGATCCGATATGGTGCTTAGTGCAATGTGAAAAAAATTCTACAATAATCTATAGTAGAACAAGAGGAATTACAAACTCGGAGAAGACCTAAAGTGTAATTAATATGAAACTTTCTCTGTTGATAGAGAGTTTGAATTCATATCGGTGAAGTAAAATTCTGCACTGGACCAATTAAATCTGCATATTTTCATAATATCCGTGCCAGTGTGTAGATTTTGACAAATCATGCTTACCAATAGCCTATATACACTGCTTTCATATTAGAAGTTCATTTGCATTGCTGCTGTGCTAACATCGTTTTGGAACAATTCAGTTTTTGTGCAGTTTTGGGTGATATATTTGTTTACATTCAGTTGCACTCGCTCAACGATTACTTCAATTCGCTCTAGATTCAACATTTTAGATTTCTCGAATTGAATATTTTGAATGTAATGAGTCTAGGTTGAAGAGCCCTATTTGACAAAATTGACCGTAGGATATTTTTGGATGCGCAGGATTTGCACACGTCGTCGTATTCGATGATTACAGCGACGACGCAATGGTACGGATTTTCACTTGATGGCCTCTCAGCGTTTTTTGTCGCTTGCGTCATCATCACTTGTATCGCTGAGCAAGGTTCGTTTCTCGAGCAAATCTGCCAATCATTCATATGATATAGTTCAAATTAATTAAACATTGAGGAATAATAGCGCACATTTGATGCAACTTCTACTCATGGATTTTCTGCTTTTCTGCTAACGAAATTCCAAATTGTTTAACATACCTACGAAATAGCCATTAGCATAAGTTGCCTTTTTTCTTTTTTTAAAGCTATTGATGACGGTGGATTAATTTTTTTGTATGACTGTTATGTGAATAATACGTACGGCCAAGGTGCATCTAGCAGCCTAAAATGATATGATATTGACAGTCTACTTTTCTGAAAGTAGTTCAAACTCATATATATGAAAAATTTTGTTCATTCAGTTCTGTAATCAATCTTTTGGGTGCCATGCGCAAGGTTATTATCATCTTCATAACTATGTGGTAATTTTAGAATCTAGCAGGCCTGTGTACCCTTAGACATAGAAGTCCGGAAGTCTGAATTAAATAACCTTTAGCATTAAATATAAAAATCTCACACAAATACAATTTCATTTACTCACACAAATACAATTTCATTTATATGAAAATTGTTTGAATGCAAATATTTTTGTAAAACATTGACGATCGTTAATGCGGCAAACAGGCCACCGCAGTGGAGACATTGGACTGGCCATCTACTGCGCACTGATGCTCACCAACACTCTTCAGTGGGGAGTTCGGCAGTCAGCCGAGGTGGAGAACCAAATGATTTCTGTGGAGCGGGTGCTGGCGCTTAGTGAACTGCAGCCAGAGGCCTCACTGATCTCGGACGAAGGCGAGTCACGCAGTAGATAGAAGTTTTCCTAGGAGCTGGTGCTCTTAGGTAATAAAAAAATATCGTCCCTCCCATCACTCCTCGGGCAAACTTTCCAAAGCTCTGACGGCCGGGTTCTATTCTTCCCTCTCCAAACCCAAATTAATCCTATACATCATAACAAACATAATTGTTCGCTATGCACCTATAATATTCTTTGACTTCCTTTTTCGGTTGTGCTTTTTCTTTCTGGCTACTTTGTGCCTCAATTTTTTCACGTTTCTTTCGTGGCACTATAACTACAACAAAAGGCTTTGCAGGGTGCTTCTAGCAACTTATCTTTTCAACAAAGTTTGCGAATATTGACAAACATAAGAAAATATCGTGCATACTATTGACAAACATAAGAAAATATCATGCATGAAAATTTACATTTCAGATATTCGTTTTATGGTACGTCATGTCTACAACGCAACTTGTATCACTTCAATTGCTCGTCAAACACCGTGTAATGCAATGGAGTTGTTTTTAACTTCCTCATGATGTCTCTATAAATTTGTAGTTTATTTTGTGAATATTGTTCATCTGTGGAATTAGTGACATGTAATTTTGGAATTGAGGAATTTCAGCTTCAAGAAATTTTGTCTCCACACATGATAAGAAAAGTTGAAGATGCAGATAATTCAATAAAAAAGTTTTTTGGCCTGAAATCACGCATTGAACAAGAAGAGAGTGGCTGTAGCAGAACAAAGGGCAACCTGATCATCTTTCCACAAAATTCCCACGAATATTCTAATCGCCAAAAAACCCTCCGCTCTATAATTTTGAACGAATTTATTAAGATATGCACAGTAACTATAAGATTTTATGCACCTTCTGAGCCTAGACTCATTATTATCGTCCCCTTCGACTTGACACCTTCTGTGTTTATTCATGTCAGTGCCGTTTTCCGCTTATAATATCTGTTCCACATAATGTGTTTCAGTTCTGATATTGTGTTTCAAAACTATTTTACCAATGCCGTTATATTGAACGATTGTTTCTGATAGCGAAAAAGGTTGATGTAATGGAACGCCAAGAGTTATGAAGGCAATGCATGAAATGGCTGGAGAGAAGCACTTGTGAAGTGAAAATTCAGTCGGCTTCAATGAACGATTGTAACCCAAGTTCGTCGTAATGAAAGGATGGTTCATTAATATGTATTATGACTATGTCACTTTCTTCATGTGAATTTTTCGAAACATGAAAAGATTATGAAAGGCAATCGTTTTAGTGGGTCGAGGGCACACCCAAATTACCCATTTTATCATTATCATTTTATTCTCATAATAAATAACGTTATTTTGTAAAGATGTATATAACAGGTAATAATGAAAAATCTGAATAATAATCACTTTAAATCCAAATCGAATCTGTTGATCTACTGTACTTGTATATGTTGAATTGCTTGTAATAATATAGCCAGAGAAACGTCAGTGTCAACTGCTACAATTTAATGTTTCTGCGAATATTCAAATAATATTACAGCAAAATCAACTGGAGTAATATTTCTTATGATTATTAAATTTTGTCAAAATTTGTAACACTTGGTTTTCAGACGCCAACATAAAGCCTGGTTGGCCAACCTCTGGACAAATTGACTTCAGGAACGTAAGCCTTCGTTATGAGGAAAACCAGCCCATGGTTCTGAAAAATATCTCATTCACCATCTCGTCAGGTGAAAAAGTGCGTCGATTTTATTAATTTTTTGGAAATGGTGTGTGCCCAACAAAATAATATAAAATATCAAGATCATGTGATCGGTAAACCACTCTTCTACTAAAACTTTACTGAAAAAATACCGAGAAATGTTCCCATAATTCAATCAAAAGGTTTTTAGGTAAAATTCATTCGTGTAGAAGCTCGGGTAAAAACAATGAAAAAGCAATCAAAATTTGCTTAAATAATAAAAATTTTATATTGAACAATAAATTTAAAATTCCTGCGTTAATTTCTATGATGATTTCTTATTGCTCGTACTTCTTAGCTATAAGGATAAAGCTAAACTCAGGAACGACCTCATCAAAATATGTCGAATTTTTTCATAATGTACTTCTTCAAGTATGTGGTGAATGAACGCGTTATAGGCAGCTGTTATGAGTTTAATTATGTGGGAACAAATTTTCTGCTCGATAATAACTCGTCTTAGTTACCGGCGATGTTTATTTCAGATCGGCATCGTGGGCCGTACAGGGGCGGGTAAGTCATCGCTCATCTCGTGCTTGTTGCGCTTGACGGAACCCGCCGGACAGATCAACATCGATGGTGTGGACATCGGCAAGCTCGGACTGCACACTCTCCGCAAGAACATTTCCATCATCCCTCAAGTGGGACATTTGGGAATTGCCAGGATTTCTATTTGTGGTCAGAGGATAACCTGGTTATTTTGAAAATCTGGTAGGTGGTGTAAATCACATTTTTCGTCTACAAGATGGGAAGAAAAATTAATTTAATTTGCGCATTAAATTTATTAAATTGACCTTACTTTAAATTGATACTATTTTTTCTGTAGCTTTTCAATTTTCTTTGCGAAAGTTAAGTTGTACAATCATTTTACAATTTTGCATGCGCGCATATGATATTAGTAGGTACTATAGATATGTGTATATTTTTCTCACAGGACCCTGTATTATTCAATGGCTCTCTTCGTATGAACTTAGACCCGTTCGACGAGTACTCAGACGATCAACTATGGAATGCACTCAACGAGGTATGGTAATCTAGTTGCCATTTTTGCATTATTCAATTCGCCGCATCATATGATGTAGAGCTAAAAGATTAAGATCTCCCGAACACAGAAATTCATTGGGAAAAGTGAGCCTTGTTGTGAGCCTTGAGCGAGCAGAAACTATCTCTAGCCGATTATCCATTCTTACTGATAAAAGTGTAAATTTTTCCGTCAGGGACAGCGGAATGTATGGCTGTTCTGCTATGATAGTGTTGATTTTCATCAACTTAGCAGAGCTGTGGAAAGCTTCAAAAAGTGAATGATCTGCTCAAGCACTACGCTTCAAATTCCTGAAGAGTTTTTTCACTCGAGTAGCTAATGTTCCTTTGATGTTTGAAGGTGCAACTGAAGGAGGGGGTGCAGGCGAGCCCCGACGGTCTGGATCAGACTGTGGAGGAGGGCGGCAGCAACCTGAGTGTGGGGCAGCGGCAGCTCGTGTGTCTGGCTCGCGCCATCCTCTCGCACAACCGCATCCTGCTCATCGATGAGGCAACCGCCAACGTCGACTCAAAGTGAGAATTACGTTGATTTCTTGTATATATGGAGTTCGTTCTTCGCTAATTGTTTTACAAAGTAATTTCACTTAACGTATTCATGAGGGCAAATAGCGATGAAGCAAAAAAAGGCAAATGTTGAGCTACAGCATTGCTTATTACTGACAATCAGAGATCATGTTTAAAAGAAAAGAGCAGCGTGAACGTAGAGCAATCTGCATTTTTGACGGGTATACTCGTATAGAAAGAGACTTTCTTGTCCTGCATGGAGACAGCAAAGTTCATAAAAATGCCCGAATTGAGACGATTTTATAAAACGACATAAACTATATGTTCATTCTCTGATATTAAATGAAATCGACATGCGAACATATTTCTTACTCAATTTGACTCTAATTTTGTAGGGAGCGCAGCCCTGCACCACAAATTTAGCTCGTAAACAAGCCCTGGCGCCAACGCCTACCCTATAATGCAAAAACTAAACTCAGCTCACACCCAAAAAGCTGTAGGTAAAGGGGTCTATACTGTTTCCCATTTTGTATAGTTATTTGTTATTTAGTTGAAGAGAAGAACACACATTCCATAACCGAGTGAGAAATCATTCTCAAACATTTCGCTCTTTTATAAAAAAACAGTTGATGGAGTCAGGATTTCTTGGACGTTTAGTTTCTAAAGCTCAGTTTCAAAAGCTTCTTGTTTTTACATTTCATTTTCACCAAGTGCATTTCTTAGAGACAGATGTTAAAACCTCACAATTTAATTTAGAATTTCTCTTCCAATTTGTCAATTGGATCCGTGTGAACTTTAATACGAATCACATCGTCCTTGAACGATTATGAACTTTAACACTCTGCCTCCAAAACTTTGCACTCAAAAAGTTTATGGATAAATTTTACAAGAAACTAATTTTACCTCTCTTACCATGTTTTACAATTTTTAAACTCAAGTTTGGTAAATTATTTCCAATAAAATCCAGAGAATACATTTTGTTATGATTGAAAATCTGGCGACCTCACGATAATAAATTCAAAATTTCGATTGTTAAAAAAATGTATATTTACTTTATCTAGTACTCTGAGGTATATCGAAATGATGTTCCTCTTGATTATCTGAATTAGGATTATGATTTTTGTAACTAGAAACTATGACCTTATAGGGCAGACGAGCTGATTCAGCGGACCATTCGTGAGAAGTTCAAGCAGTGCACGGTGCTTACTGTGGCCCACAGACTCCAAACTATCATGGACAGCACTAGAGTGATGGTGATTAGTGCTGGAAAAATCCATGTAAGACAGTAAATAAAATAAGAATCTTAGATTTACGTTACGTGTTTACTCAGATCAGAGAAACATATTATTGAGATTTATCAAACGTATAAGTAGTATTGATATGTATTAATTGTAACTGTACGCGTTTGCCAATAGTCATCAACAGGGTAAATGAACTCAGTTTATTTTAACTACAGCTGACGATTAGAGAATATAGAAAGGATCCTGCGCAAGAGTCAGATATTCACAACTTAGATGGCAAGAAAAAATTTTATATTTAAATATCTCATACCGACAGTTTCATATTGACCTGCCTAACACAAGTTCATGCTTAATCCCATCCCCATTTGATTAAGTCCTACATACCGCAGCTTATAACTATGATACAAATAGTGATATTGCTGCACAGAGTTCATCGGAACGTTTTCGAAAATTATTAAATTTACGAAAATTTTTCTTTGGAAGTAGAATTCATGAGAAGTTAAAAAATATGAGAAAAATTTAATTTCCAGCCCCGGATGTTGATTCAATCACTCATCTAAATCTTAAAATTTGTTCCAGGACATTTCTTGCTACTCTTATGCTAATCACATCAGGCCTAAATGTGTGCAATTGAAGCTTCAAACTTTATCGTGAATTATCGTTTGATCTTCTAAAGGATTGATTTGAACTATTTTGATACTTCGGTATGTACAGAATTTTTGTTCAAGTTACGTAGTTAAAATATACCTAAAACTGCACCTACTCCTGCTTTAAACACATCGCTCCAAGAAGATCTTTACCACGACAAGAGCATTAGCAATTTTTTATATCAATATCGATAACATTAAATTTTGATAATCAGAATGATATTGCTCAACTGTAGCTAAGCTTTCATCTCGTCATGCCTGAGAGCAACAATTCATAGAAGAACAATTCCCATAAGATCTTTACCACTCAAGGAGCTGGACGCCCCGCACTCGCTGCTGCAGGACCGCGCCTCGCTCTTCTCGCGCCTCGTGCGCCAGGCCGACGACGCCACCGCGGAGCGCTTGCACAACATCGCAAGAGAGGCGTACAAAAAACGCAATATTTTGACACCGCCTTTCTGATTAATCAATCATTCATATAAAAATTCGAACGGATATTACATATTGTATCGTATCGTAATTAGATTTGACCAGGCAAACGAATTTTGAAAGTTGCCTTCTCATATAAATAGAAGAGGAGCGTTGTTAATTTAAACAAATAACGTGTGTTTTGGTTGGTTGATATATATACAGGTTTGCCCTATTTTTTATTTTTTAGCCTATTATTTGGATGTTCTGCGATGCCATAACGAAAGAATGGAAAAACAGAAGGTGGCAAATAATATCCAGAAATAGGATAGAGAGAAATAAATGATAAAAGACGAGGAAAGATTCGGGGTTACTTAAGACCTGTAAGTACACGTAGCGACTTACGCAGAGCATAATTATTACTTAGTAGACGTAACTTGAAATGGTGGTTTTATCAAAAGATTTCGGCGCAAAGTTACGTCAACAAGTAGTAGGTAACTTCATGACAACTCTGATGTTGCGTAATTAGTGGAGTTACTCATAACTTTTTAGAGTGTGAATCGATTGGAACTCTTCATGTCACTAATAAAACGGCCAACTATGGAAGATTTATGTTCATATCCAAACAGATAATTTATAGTTGCGAATAAATTTCATTAGTGAATAAATTTCAATCGTTTCTCATAAGTGAATCGTGTCACTAGTGAATAAATTTCAATCGTTTCTCATAAGTGAATCGTGTCACTAGTGAATGAATTTCAATCGTTTCTCATAAGTGAATCGTGTCACTAGTGAATAAATTTCAATCTTTTTTCTGTCACGGGCTAAATTTTTTTATATTCACGTTAGAAATTGCAAGCAAATGTTAGTCTTTATATCGAATAGTCTCAATGCATTTTCGATACAAAATTATGTAAAGCCTTCACAGCTAACAATTTTTTTCTTCTCTTTTTTTTACCGTCAATTATTATAGATAAGTGGTAATTTCTATGTCTTTAAAAAAAATATTAGACTTGGATTTTTGCATTTTTCACGCAGATGTCCAAGTAAAAATGATTCTAATCGTATGGAGCTAGACAACTAAATAATAACAGACTAGCTGTGGAAAAATAAATGTTCAGATGTGAAATGTCTAGCACCATATCGAATCCGGTGGACGTCTAGTAGCTATTTCAAACTATCGTCAGTCCTGAAAAGCTCCGGTCAAATGACACGAGTTTAGATCTTCCGTGAACAAGTCACGAAAAGTACAAGAATCGGCGACAGGCCACATCAGGCCTACTCTTCAGCGCCGACATCGCTATGTTATGTTATGTTACTATGAACCAAGACGAAATTAAGGAGATTTTTTTGGAATGAGCTTTTGAAAGTCAGCCAACTTAATGAACACCGTACATACTATTAATAAATATTTTGGAAAACCAACCAAGGATCGAATGTTGAAATAGTTAATGAGAGCCCTGAACTTTGTATTCACATATAGACATATCATTCACATATAGACATATCATAAGTTAGGGTAAAAAAGCAGTTGACCCATCGCATCAAAAATGTTCAGTAATACAGAGAGACGTCTAAACACACATTACTAAAGAAGAAGCGCATGCAGTAATCTAAAGTACAATATAAAGAAGAAGCGCACGCAGTGACTTGTGCGTTTAGGGAATTCCTATACATCGCACTTGGCTACCAGGTGTCAGTTTCAATGCTTCACAAGTCTCTTGTAACATTATTTTGGCGGATAACGCCGAATGACGCTTAATTAACGCAATGTAATATTCAAGCGCAATAGTACGACATAATAGCACGACATGCTCGAAAATTTGAATATCGATCGTTGCCGATGCATTTCCTCGTTTGTTTTCCCACGGTACCGCTTACGATAAAATCATTACAGAAATTGATGACAGCAGAAATAATGCCGAGGGAAGCGCTGTGACATAGACTTGAGCAACATTACCGTGGTATAAAAATGCCGAGCTACCAAGAGCGCCGTTCGCTTGCAGAGTATCGCGCAGCGTCAGGAAATGGTCCACTGCAGATCAACACACAATTCGGAAAGATGTATCGGTACAGCGCATCCATTTGGGGTACTTTTTCATTTTTTTCTATTGTGTGTTTTTCATTCCGTGGTAACTATAAAATGAATAAACAAGAATGACGTTTCTCGATGCTCTTCAATCTTTCAAGCTACTGGTAGGTCGACTTCACTGCAATTTAAGTGCTCTCATGTGGTCGTTATTAATTGCCTTACCCCGTGTACAGCTCGACGAGCTGGCGAAACATCATCATTGTAGACACATGTACGTCCTGCACTTTGCCTCACAGAGAAAGGCTCTGCAGATTCAAGATGACTACTTTTAGACGCTTATAAATCACGTCAGAGAATTACAAAGCCGAACGATACCTCGAGTAACGATAGCAAATGTACTGCGTGCACGAATCACGAAAGTGGATCGCAAAGCATTACGATACCTCGGGGCACGATCACAACTATTGGCGTGATCACGTTAGTGGATTGCAAAGTTCTTCCATATCTCAAGGCATAATTTAAAAAATCGTTTATGAGCTACTGTGCTGGAAATCCCTCTCGCGCCGTTGAAATCATCCGATGACATTGTTTTCGACCTTCATGTCCCATCAAGAACGTACCTTTAGTTATGAAATTTACACGCATACTCTCAGGAGGAACATTGTTCGGGTAAAGTGTGATGTCCTTTCGTTGCTGTTGTAGAACTTCACCCGACTTATGGTAGAATCGAAGTTTTAAGGTAAAATGACACACAACAGAATGGCATCAAGTGTTATTCACTCAGAACACCGTGCGATCTCACGACAAACATCAATGCAGCACTCAAGACTGCATTAAAAAATCTTGGGACATCATGCGAGACTCGACGATGACCAAACGTCAAGGGGAACTAGTGCCCTTATGGGCCTGACGCTTTCGCTGGTTTATCTAACTCGGTAATGCCTCGCTTGAGACCGCAGCACGGTCAAGGCGGAAACTGGCGTCTATGTCGACTATATAGAATAGAATAGAAGTGTCGGCGCTGAAGAAATAGGCCCATGGCCTGTTGCCGATTCTTGAACTTTTCGTGATTGCGCGTCTTTGAACACTCTCTACTAAATTTCTGTCCTTTTCAAATTTCGGTGACCATACGACGTTTCCAAACTCTAGGTTCGGGCGCACGACAGCAACAAACAACTGCTTCATCGTTCCTGCATCTAGGAACTCGAAAGAGCGTCTGATCAGTCCAAGTCGTTTATTGGCTTTATTAACTTGACCGTGTGTCATTTTAGTCATTTTAGGAGAACTGCCGCCTACGTTAATGACGTGGTTACTCACTTTGTAACTGACACCTACGCTGATGGCAGGGCGACTTAAGGGGAGGTGATACCGATGCTAATGGCAAGGTGACTTAATAGGATCTGACACTTACGCTGATGGCAAGATTAAGGGGAACTGACAACAGCGCTAATGACAGGGTGACTGAAGGGGAACTGACACCGATGCTGATGATAGAATGACTTAGTGGGAACTGATACGTACGCTGATGGCAGGGTGACTTAATGTGAACTTATACCTACACTGACAGCTTTGTTACTTGAGGGGAACTAAAACCTATGCTGATGGCAGGATGACTTAATTAAAGGCAGGGGAGTAACTTGAAGAGGAATTAACACCTGAGCATTGCTTCAGACCGTCGATGTCTGAGCAAGACAGTCCTTTGCGCATCCATAGCCCCGAATTTCAACTTCCATTTCATGGCCAGTCTATTATTCGATGGATTGACCAAATTCGATGCAGAAGACGAAACCAATTTTCTTTTTCATGTTAGCTGACAAGACCTTCAGAAAGATGGTGAGCTCTCCCGTAAACGAAGCCTCCTGCCAAGCAAACACATTGCGTTAATAGGATAGTAAATGACCTGTTGCAAACACCTCTCCCAGCAACGCTCCGCAACTCCTCTAACAAACACTAATTCACAACACCTCCACAAGCAACTCTCTCAAATACCTCCTTGAAGCATGTTTGTTGGTAAAGGGATATAATTCAGGTCAGGTATGAGCTTGGGGAATTAACACGATGATTGAGGAGAACGAGCGTGTCGGGAGCCCAAGAGTAGACACAGACCTAAAAGAAGCGAATGAAACTGTTTATATGCGTCTGAATAGATAATGTGAGAATATCTATAATATTCCAACAACAGGCACAATCATGCGCTCAACGCTCACGGTTTCACTGCTGCTGCAGTAGTTGATGTTGGCGCCATCCTCCGCCCCGTCCGTGTCGACCTCAACGCTGTACCCGTCGCACCCGTCATTCCCCTTGAACTCAGACTGGCCGAATTTTACTTTGAACTTTGCCTCGGGGTTCGCCGTGTGCGTTAATTTCACAGAACATTTTGTCACAGCCTCGTTGGGAAAATACCGACATCCGAGCCCAGGATGGGAGATGACATAAATCCCGTACAGGCTGAAGACCGGGAGTTTGATCGTCTGGCCGCAGTTCTTCACTGAAACACGCGAAAACGAATGTATTATTCGTAGTAGTGGTTGATTTGTATTAAACCGTATGAAATCGACAGTAAAGAAAAAAGCTTCTGTCGCAAATCAAAATCATTGAACCTGAAATTCGGGAAATTCGACTGAGCCTTGAAGCTCTCATTCAATGGATATTGATAGATTTACGTTGGACCTTAGTCATGTGCCCATCGCACAAAGTGAACAGTCGAGACTTGCTAGATGGACTGAATCAAGACGAATGCTGAGAAATGAAACTTACCTTTGCATGGAAATTTGCTGCCTGCGCATCGTCGCAAGCCGCGTTTGATCACCTAGGGCTCAGTCTGAATATTGTCAAATGGAGATAAAAACCTGCAACTGCCATTTACAGTTCCGGACTCTACTAACGCAATATGATGGGAGGGGGAGAAGTGAGCTCGTAGGGTATCGTCTCAAAGTTGCTGCAGGGCGCAGAGGTGATGCAGTACTCCAGGTCGACGGATGCGAGAAGGAACGTTTGAATGGGTGAACACCCATCGCATTGA